ATGTTTGGCTTGGCTTTTAAGGTACAAAAACCGTTAGTACAAATCAAATGTTTTTGAGTGCTTATATATAATCGTATTTCTTAGATATGTTCTGCCTAGTTTTTTCAAGTTTTACATTAGCTATTTCTGAATTATGTCATGTTGGTGTACCAACTCCATAAGCAAACTTTCTTATTTTTCATAAATTTTCGACTGAAGATATTGGCACTCTATCTTGTATCAAGTCAAGAACTTGATATCTTCCTGAAGTGCAACAAATGATATACTGATATATCTATTTAATGATATGTGGAGGACAGTAACTGGTGTAGAGAACGTGGTGAATCATGTATTTCTCCTCTTAGAAGCAAGAGAGCATCTATTTATATCTATCCTTTCTTTTGTTGATATTCTGTTAGGCTGATGTATGCCATGCCTACCAAGTCATGAAAAATGGTGGTCTTCGAGATGAAAATATCGTTGTTTTCATGTACGATGATATTGCATATAATGAGGAAAATCCCAGACAAGGAATTATAATTAACCGTCCTGAGGGGGATGATCTGTATGCTGGAGTTCCCAAGGTTTGAATTTTATGAAACCTGACCAATACCATAATTCCTTCTAGTTATTTATCATTATATTTTTTAATTGGTTCCTTGAAATTATCTGCAGGATTATGTAGGAGATAATGTTAATGTTGACAATTTTTTTGCTGTTCTCCTTGGAGATAAAAAGGCTGTATCTGGTGGCAGTGGGAAAGTTGTTGATAGTGGACCTAATGATCATATATTCATATTTTATTCAGACCATGGTGGCCCAGGAGTTCTGGGTTAGTTTAACTTAATTTGAGCCGCTCCAGGACCTCCATATCCCCAAGAAAGCAATTTTAACTTGATGCTCACTTTCTGTTGTCCTGTTACCAGGCATGCCTACATATCCTTATCTTTATGCGGATGATTTAATCTCTGTTTTAAAGAAAAAGCATGCCTCCAATTCCTACAAAAGCATGGTATTGCTTTGTTATTTATGAAATATGCAGCTGTCATAACATAAAATGTGCATCTGTAATACAAGGTGGTCTTGTTTTTCTTTTTGTAGGTCATCTATATTGAGGCTTGTGAATCTGGGAG